TCATTCTAGGTGCTGAGGACGGGGCAGTGAATAAAACCAAGTCCCTGACCTTGGGGAGTTTTTATCTTGGTTGGGAGGTGGGGGAGACGTGTCTCGCACCGAGGAGCATATGATCTAGTTGTGGTGAATGGCAAGTTCTCTACAGAAAGACGATGCTGATGGAGATCGGTGGGGTTTAGGGTTGAGGTTTAGGGCAGAGGGGCCTTTTGGAGCTGAGCGTCATGGAAGAATGCGTCATAGGATGGCGCTGGCCCTGAGCGATGGCGGGCAAAGGGCTCTGGGCAAAGGGCTGAAGCACTCTGGCCATGAGGTGGCACCAGGACAGGGGAGGACAGTGAGGCTGGAGCAGGGAGCCCAGGGGGGAGAGGAGATGAGATGGGGCGGGGAAGGGCCAGGCCTTGGCAGTTGCGCTGTTATCACTTGTCTCCCTCCACCCCAACTTAGCGTCTTGAGGGAACTGTGTTACTCTCTCACAGTTCTAGCGGGGCAGGGCCGCTTGGGGGGCTAGTCTGGCCGCCACATCGGCGGCCTTGACTGGGTGGTCGAGGCGGCTCCCTCGTGGTGAGTGGACGGTCTTGGGCAGCCTGGGCATCCTCACAGCATGGCCGCCGGCCACCCCAGGTGTGTGAGCCAAGAAAGCCCGCTAGAGGCCACGTGGCTCTTATGACCTAACCTTGGAGTCACACACCACGTCATCACTGCCACCCCCCAGGGCCCCGCAGCGTGGGCAGGGCCACACGCACAGGAATGCCCCACCAATGCTCCGGCGTGTGTGGGGCTAGAACTGTGCTGAAGTTCCCCTAATCTGATGACCAGGTTTAACCAGGAGGAGTGACAGGCTCAAATGTGTCCTTTGGATTCTAGAGCTTAGGAAAAATCAGGCAGGACAGAATAAATTTTGGGGGATGCATAAGAAAGAGGCAGAGAGAGCAGGGAAGAAAACTTGGGGTCCCCAGGAGGTGATCCTGGAGGTGAAATGGCAAGTCTGTCCTACCCATGACAGGTGGTGGATCCGCCGTGGAAGGCGCCCTGCCTGGGTGAGCCAGGTGGGAGGTGCGGGTTCCTGGTCACCGCGCACCAGGCCCACTGAGCACGCTTGGTGACCTCTCCAGCACTCCAGGCCCCTGTGCTGGGCTCCCGCGCTGGCCCCTGGCATCACAGTGGCCCGCGTCTCCTAGGTGTGTCCCCAAGCCCTCCCCATCCCTCAGGCAGCGCCAGGCGTGTGAGGAGAGCTGTGCGCGAGTAGAGACTTGAAGGGGAGTTCCTCAGCGCACCGGAGCGGGCGAGAGGAGGCAGGACAGGCTAGTGCGTCAGAGCACGGTCCTAGCTTCAGGGGGCCAGGGTTCAAATCCTCCTTCTGCCGAGACCTAGCTGTGCCAGCTGGGGCAAACCGCACAACCTCTCTGTGCTACAGTTTCCTCCTTTGTAAGATGATGATCCTAGGGTGGGGGTGAGGATGCGCTGACTTCCCTCCTGCCAAGGGCCCTCTGGGCGTGCCCACGCGCCATCCACGCACCTCGCGCTCCTGGCTCCCCTGCACCTGTGTGGCCCCACCTCCTGGGTCTGGGAATCCAGGGAATCCAGATTCTCAACTGCCGTGTATCCTGCCGGGAGGTGGTTGGCGGCCGAGGTGACCGGCAGGTAGAGGTGACCCCGGGGCTGTAGAGGCAGAAGAGTCCACGTGAGATACCCGGGTCTTGCAAACACTCCTGGTGTTGAATCTGCTGTCGGGGGCAGCAGTAAGTGGTGTCTCAGCAGAAATACCTGCATTTCTTATTTATGAGGCTGCCGGGGCAAGAGAGAGAGTCTAATAAAAGACTTCCCGTGATTCAAGGTCGCCCTGGGCCCGGCTCCGCGGCCACCTGGACGCCTCCTATTTGCTTTGATTCCGCTTCTCTCGCTTTTTCCTCCCGCGCTGGCCCGCGCCCGCCCCGGCGGAGAGGCTCTATTTTGGGAGTTTTCGTGGATAATTTAGTGCGCGGAAGCTTCCCACCCACCCCCCTTGGAGCGTCCCTTCAAAAAAAGGGAGAGTGCTCGAGAGAGAAGTGAAAAACAGTGGGTGGTTCAGTTCAAAAGGACAAAATATTTCTTGCCCTGGCACCGGGAGAGGAAACAAGTTGTCTGAAGAGCCCAAGAACAGCTCAGCTGAGACGCCGAGAGCTGCAGCCCAGGAGGGCAAATTAGGTGACTCAGCTGCGACCCCCCCGCCGGCCCCAGCACGAATGTGCTTTGAAAGGGAAAAATGCTTAACTCTGACAAAGAGTGGGCTCTATAAAAATGTGGCTAATGCGGACTCCGCGAGGCCAGAGGGCCCCCCCTTCGGCTGCGCCAAGCACCTGTGGAGATGGGGACCCGCCTCCGAGGCCTGCGCCTGGGTGGGACGGAGTCTAAAATTATCCCCGATAATGAGCCTGGCAGAGGAGGCCGGCATGCTCGTTTCCTGCCTGGCTCCTGGCCTCCAAGACCTCGGCTCCCAGGGAGGCCTCCGGGAGGCAGGGGCTGCCACGCCAGGAACACGGGCTTGGTTGACAAACAGAACTGGGTTCAGATCTGGGCTGGCCGTGTGAACAGCGCCGCGCGCAGCCTCGGTTTGCTCATCTGTCAACAAGGCTCACGGCCTCGGGCTCGGCGGGAGGGGGCCCTGGACTCGATCTCGCGGAGAGTGGGCTTCCTGCCCTGGACAGGGGTGTTGTTTCGCAAAGGACGGCCTGGGGCTGGTGGGCAGGGACTGTGGGCGCTGGCTCAGTCTCTACCCACACCTTGACCGGGGGACGGAGTTGTGTTTTAAATGGATATTTTAAGCGTTTATTCTATTCTCTGCTGTTTGTTCTTAGCCTCACTCTGCACGTCAACTCTGAAGAGGGGCTCGGTAGTCTCCCCATTGTACACAGTGGGTCGGGGGCTCTGGCAAAGCCAAAGAAGGTCTCATCCAGCACCGCCCGGCAGAGCTTTCCGGTGGGGTGGACATGTGCTGTTCTGTGCTGCCCAGCTCAGCAGCCAGGCGTCCCTGGGTGGCTCTTGAGCCCTGGAAATGTGGCTCCTTCAACCATCGAACTGGATTTGACATTTTTTATTTAATGCTTCATTTTCATTTCAGCTGCCGCCTGGGGCCAGTGGGGCCACCTGGGCCGGCGCGGGGCTGACCCTCCTCCGGGCCCGTGTGTTACTGTGCAGGAGGGCCAAAGCAGGAATTTAGAGCTGACCTGAGCTCAGGGCCTGGCGTGTAGTAGGGCTGAGTTAGGGGTGGCTGTAGTGTTATGGAGTAGGGGGACTGCTTTCAGAAGACCCTGCCGGGGGGTTCCTGCAGCCAGGGCTGCCCCAGCAGGTCTCACCTGTGCTGATTGCTCAGTTGGCCCAAGACTTGCCGTTTTAAAACTGAAAGCCCCGTATTTTGGGAGCCACCTCAATCTCAGGCTATCTAAGCAGGTGGGCACCCGGTTCTGGCCTCAGATGATGGGCTGCAGAGCGTGCAGGAAATGGGAGTCCCTCAGCGGGCTTCCTGAAAAGAATCCCCTCCATGACCTTCCAGTCTGCGCTCTGGGTTCACCATGTAAACCAGTGGGTTACCCTCTATTTTGGTTGCCTCAGTTTCCCCTTTGGAAAGTGAGGGAGAAGGATCCCTGCTTGCAGAGGGGCTGCAAAGTGTTCAAGATAAGGTAGTACCAGGCTCGGGCGCACAGGGGGCACTCCTGGCTGCTCTTTGGGGGAGCAGCGTTATTTAAGCGCTTCTGCGGAGGCCGCCTGGTTGAGGCTGGTCCCCTGGTGGGCGGGTGGCTTGTCCCAGTGACCCTTTGTGGAGTGTCTCTGGCAGGAGAGGTGGTGTCTGAGCGCCCCATGAAGCTGCTCTGGGCCCAGGCCTGGCATACAGAGTGGTCCCAGGGGATGTGCCAGCGCCAACCAGGCCTCTGAAAGTTCAAGTTTGCTGTGGAGATGGTGGTGGGGGAGGGGACCGTGAGTCACCAGCCTGGGTGCAGCGGGGACCTTTATCAGAGCCCTCAGCGGTATCTGAAATGACCATTTTCAGGGCTGGTTTGATCTGTGGGCCCAGAATCTCTGCACCTGCCTGCAGGTGAGGAGGCCAATAGAGACCAGGGGCCGAAGAGCATCCTGCGGTGCGGGTCCCCTCCCGGCGACCTGCCCCCGCTGCGGCCCACGGATGGGAGCCACGCGTGGCATCCTCGGGCCTCCCTCGGGAGGCTGAGCGAGTTCATGACATCCCTTCCCTTTATTTTCCTGTTTATTCAGAGCATGTGTAAACACAGGGGTTGCCTGGTTTCCGCGTCCCTTCGGCCATTTCATTATCGCCGGAGCCTCTGAGCATCACTGGAAACCTCGGGTTTTCTAAATGAATCTAAAAATAAACTCTTTGCAAAAAAAATAACTTGGAGCCGGAGAGTTGACACAGGCACCGTTATTTATTTCTTCTCTCCTCCTCCTGCCTCCCCTCCCCTCCCCCAGCGCCCAGAGTCCCAGGGGACTGGGAAGGGCCGGGGTCCACGTCCAGGGGGCCCGACCACCTTGGGGGCGCGGGTCTGAGCCCCGGGCCGCGGCACCCGCTGGGCACATGGGGGTCTGGGGAGTCTGGAGCGTGGTTTATTAAAAGCCGCCGCGTGCGGGGCAGGCGGTGGCCGGGATCGGTGCAAACGGCCCCCGGGAGCCCCCGCGAGGCGCCCGGGACGCGCGCGCGCCCACCCCACCCCCTCCCGGGCCGTCGCCCGCCCGCCCGCGCCCGCGCCCGCTCCCTCTCCCTCTCCCGGCCTTCCCTGCCGAACAATCAGGGACTTGTGCTGGCGGCCGAGGGAGCCACGGAGCTGGCTGGCCGCGGAGGAGGCGACGTCATGGATTCCTGAGTGTGAAGTTTGCAGGAAAGCCCTTAGTTTTGGAGATGGACGCGATCCAGTGGTTTCCATGGCGCTGGATAAACAGGAGGAAACAGTGAGGGAATCCCGTTATTTTACTGCATTGAAAGCCTATAAACACGGAGCGCGGGGAAGGAAGTCGCGTCCCCTCTCGAGTGAGCCCGAGCGCTCGGCCGCGCCGACTCCGCCGCGCCGGGAGCCCCGAGCCGGGAGGCGGGAGGCGCGCAGCTCCCGGGCCGCTCCGGGCGCCTCGGCCAGCGCGCCCCGCGAGCATGCTCTAGAGAGGCCGGCGCGCCCCGGGCCCCTGGTCTCCGCTCCCAGACCCTCTCCCGGCGCGCGCCGAGCCCCGCGCCCTCCAGATGCAGAGAGAGGCTGCGTTCCGCCCCGGGCACTGCCACCCGCTGCGCATCATGGGGTCTGTGGACCAAGGTAACTGCCTCGCCCCCCGGACTCCGGCCGGGTCCCCTCCGCCTCCGGCTTTTCCCTTCGCGCTTTCAGCTGCCGCCGGAGGTCGCGGGCGGCCCGGGGACTCGGGGTGCCCAGCGCGCACAGGTAGCGCGGCCAGCAGCGGCGGCGCCCGCGCCCCGGCCAAGGCGGGGAGCCCCGGCGCGGGCTCTGGACCGCGCTGCTCGGAGCCAGCGGAGCGCCCCGGGCGGGATCCCCGGGCCAGCCCGCCCCAGGGCCGCTCCCCTCCCGGCGCGCCCGGGCTTCGCGCTACTAACCGCTGCTGCTTAACCGTTTCGGCGCTCGCTTGGACAGCAGAGGCCCGGCGCGGGCGTGGCGGTGGTCGGGATGATGATGATTATTAAGCCTTTTTTTTCTCTTTTAGGAGAGCAGGCTTGACGTTTTACGGGGTTAAGTAGAGTAAGCAAGGCTGCTTTTTAGCAGTCGCAGCAGCAGATGCGCACGTCGCCAACTTCCCTCCCCTCCCCTGATGGGCTCCTTGGAGAGCTCCCTGGAGAGCTCCGTGGAGAAAGCCCCCAGCCCCTCCCCCAAGTGCAGGGTACCAGCAGTTGGGGCTGCGATGTGATTACTCTCCTTTCCGAGTTTCTGCCTCTCCCCCCTCCTCTTGGTGAAATCACACTACGGGGAGCTGGTGGGAGGCGGATAACGTGGAAGAAAATGAGATGAAAACCTCCCATCGGGTTGGGGTGGTGGAGGGCTTCGGCTGCGCGCGGATGAATCGGTCTTTAAACGAGGACGTGGGTAAAGGGCTGTTTTTTTCGGGGGCCATCAGGGCGGTGCGCTGCCCAGCGGGCAGGGCTGCGAGAGTTAAGTGAAATAAATATGCGTGGGAGGAGTCAGCCTCCTGTCATAAAATCAGAGTTGAATGTAGGTTTTGTGCTCTGCGTGGCTGATTAAAGTTGGGGGGGCATGAGGGGGAGAGAAATGACAATTTTAGTAAATAAACCTAAGGGGCATTTTTTTTTTTTTTTTTTTTTGCAAACCAGGAGGCAGCCAGCGCCTTAGGTTAGGGAATGGTGCGCTTTGCCCCAGCCCACGCCAAGGACACATATTTTTAATGGAATTGCACTTTTGAAAGCAAGACCCTGCCAACGCTTAGGTGGTTTTGACTGGTACCAGTTTGTCCTGCTCTCTGCTAGTGGTCAAGCTTATGACAGGATGGCTCCCCGAATTTGACTAATATAGAATTATCGGCAAAAGCCATGCTCTCGGACAGTTGGCAGAGACTGGAGCTGGGTTCTTCGGATAGTGGTGGGGTGATGGGGGTGGGGGCACGGGCTCATGCCAAATTGGGCTCTGTTCAGAAAGAGAGGATGCTTGGAAGAGAAGCTGGGTTTCTGTTTTAGTGTGGGATGGAAGACAAACCTCACCCTTTACTGGGTCTGCCACCCCTGCTCCACTTCATAAACTTGCTCCTCTCCCAAGGTTTTGAATTCAGCCTGTGTATTTTGTGTGTGCACAAGCATGCCTGCCCTCCCCAGCCCGTGCTCCTGTGTGCAGGGATTGGAAGTGTGTTCGTGCCAGTGTGCGTGTGTGTGTGTGTGTGTGTGCACATGTGGAAGACAGGGCACCACATTGTTCCTGGTGAAACACACTTGGCATGCCAAGGCCACTGGGCACACAGAATGCAATTCCAGGCATCAAAGGCAGCTGGCATGCGATGTGCTTCCACCCAGTCCTGCACACGGGTCTCCCGAGGGAAAACAGAATGCCCCTTTGAACTCCAACACCCCTGTGAGCACTGGGACGGGCCTGCGTGTGCACGCTGATGGGCGAGGTCATTAACTAGCGGGTAGAAATATTTGCACGGTAAGAAAATACTGAGCTTGCTGTGCGGCTCTGGGTTGAGGCCCTGGGAAAAACTGAGGATCTGAAAGAGGTGTGTTCGGCTTTATCTCAAGAGGGGTGATGGAACGTATTTCAGGAGTAAACAAGCCCAGGGTCAGCAGCTCTGTGACTCCCAGACCCCAGCTCCCTGCCTTCTGCATGGATTGCGTTTCTACTTGGCCACATTGCAACTGTGTGATTTTGGGTAAGTGACTTCCCCTCTCTGTGCCACATTCGTGAGTGGGCGCTGGGGGCACACTGCTCAGCGGGCTGGACTCAGGTTAACCTGGTAATAGTGGGATAGCGCCACAGACCATGGCGGTGTGGGATCCAGGAGGTAACGCTCAGAAAGCCCTGAAAACGGAGCTGTCACAGCCTGTGCTGGAGAAATGTCAGCTCAGTCCTTCTCGTGGTAAAGATACAAAACAGTAGCTTAGGTTGCTCTAGAAGCTACATTTCATGGCAAAACCTTCTTGAGGAGTGTAGCATTTTCTAACGCCTCAGGGCACTTTTTATCTTCTGGAGGATGCACCTCACGGTGGGTGAAGCCTCCGTTTATTCATTGGCGGACGGGAGTAATGGCAGTGCGGGCTTCGGGGACTTGGCATCTTGAGAGATCACGCACGTAAAGTGCTTGCCTCTGTGCTTCCTTTGCGGTCGGCACAGACTCGATGCTGCTATTGTGGTGGCTGAGGGCAGAGCCACGGTCATGTGCAAGTGCCGTCTCTATTGCTGTCCATGGTGGGGAGAGCAAGTCTGTATCGAGCCTTGACCAGGAGGGTCGATGTTCCTGTCAGAGCCTCTGTCTTGGTGGGTGCTACAGTCGCTGTCTCCGTCACGGAGGGGGGAAGGGAGGTGCAGAGAGGTGTGGGAACTGGCCAAGAGTTTTCCAGCGGGGCGGTGGTGGACTCAGAGCTGGAACCCAGCTCTCAAGCACAGGCCTCCGCCTCCGGATCTCACTGATGCTCACCAGTCATAATTATTTCTAATCCGATCTGACAGAGGAGGAAACCGTGTAGGACGAGGCCCCGGTCCTGGGGATTTTTTGCCAACACTCGGAAGGGGAAGAGGTGGGTGCGAGGATGTGGGGGGCACAGCCTTCATCCTGAGGGACAGGGAAACTGAGGCAGCAGCTGATTTACCCTGAGCGTTGGGTGAGTCACAGAAATGGAAGCAGCGTTCTCGCTTCCGCCGGGAGAAAAGGCCCGAAGGGCGGGGTGGGCAGGTCACGCTGCTGCTCGTGCTCCTCACATCCCCCCTGTTCTTCCTTTCCATCACCCCCCTCGCACCCCTTCCCTCTCCTCACCCTCTGAACCCCAGAAGCCCCCCTTCACGTACTAGTGTCCATTAGTTTTGGGGAGTATTTGCTTGTTAAATCACCCTCTGGATGACTTGCCTGAGCATCGGCCCCCTGCAGCCCTTCCACTTTGCTGTAAATGGCGAGTGTGTCTCCCCTGGTGGCTGAGGACTCCACGGTGTGACGAGTGTTCCTGGTGTGAACAGCCGTCCGCGGCGTGGCTAGACCACATCGTGGCCCAGTCCTTGCCGGCCGCACCGAGCTTGTTTCCGTGTCCCGCTGTTGTCAGGAATCCCGCCTGGTTTGTTTTAACTCGAGTTACTGCCATCCTCGCTCGAAGAAAGGAAAGGCGAAGTCTCCAGGGCTTTTCTGGGGGCTCCAGGGAGCCTGTGTCAGAAGCTGAGGCAGCGAGTGCAGGGGTGTTTAGGGAGGGTCCATGGATGCCGGGCACCCGCGGGGCGGCGTGGGACAGAGCCAGGCGCTGTCACGCGGGCTCAGTTGGATTTGAAAGTCAGATCAAGATGGGGGCAAAGCAGGGGCGACATGGCCACGTGGGAAGCCATTGCATGCGAAGCTCCTGGGGGCTTAGATGAAGCCCCCGGTTATGTTGACAGAGTGGGTGGGGGCGTGGCGGGTCAGGTATGGGGCAGGGTGTGGCACGCTACGTGATGCTGACAGAGGGTGGCTTCACCGCCCCTGGTGGCAGCCTCTGGCCCTCCCACCCCTGAGGCAGCACAGGTATCTCAGTCTGCAAAGAATATGTCAGGAGAGAAAGTGGAGATCGGGGTGCAGTCACCTCAGAAGACAGCCTGGGTGACAGGTGGATGGTTGGATGGTTGTGGGGTCAGTGAGCAGGCTGGGCTGACGTCCACTGCACCCCCTAACTGTGCCAACCCCTGCCGCCCACCCTGGAGCTCTGAATTGGTCAGCGATGCTCCCTGCTGCGCCTCCCACCGAATTAAAAACAAGACCGTAGGGGTTTTGCTAAAGCCCCATAAAGCAGAGAAGGCCTGTGAGACGAGGGGTGCAGAGGGAGAGACCAAATCAGGACAGAGGAGGCAAAGGAAGCAAGCAGGGGTTCAGGGCCCGGAGCTGGGGGCGGCCTGGATGGGGCTGTGGTGGGCAGAGAATCTGAAAGGGTAGCTTCAACCCAGTTCCTGCTGGTGTAGCTGGGAACAGGGACCCACGGTGGCCAGATCATACCCCCCCTTTTCTTAGATATTGGCAATTTGGATTTTAGCCTGAAATCTCCCAATTAAAAATTGTTAATTCAGATTTGAAAAAATGATGGGACAGCCAAGCATAATATGCCTGCAAGATGGAGTTGGCTGAGCTGCTGCAAACCTGGGCCACCTGCTGTCATGTGGGGCGCCTCCCAGTCCTGCCTCGCTTGGGGTTCCGGTCTTCAGAGGCACCCGCTTCTTCCAGCATCTGCTGGCTGGGCCTGCCCAGTGGCTGTTGTCCACAGACTGCCTTGGCCTCAATCCCCTGCTGGAAAACAGCTTTTTCATGGGGAAGGTCCTGTGTGGGCTTTAAGAGACGGTGTAGATGGTAGATGGAGTGACACTCAGGCCTGAAGCTGTCCTGTGGCTCCCCTGGCCCCTAAGGAGCTCATTCCTGAATATGACTGGGCTTGGGGTGGGGAGAAGGCAAGAAGGCAAAATGCAAAGGGAATAATAATGTCATATCTTAGAAATAAAAATTAATGCCAACAATCCACGATGAACCTGAAAACATTTAATTTTATTTTTTTTTAAGATTTATTTATTTATGCCTACAAGAGCTGGGGTATGGGCCAGAGATGCGGGGGGTGAGAGGAGTCACCAGAGACGGAGTGGGG